GAGGGGGGGGGGTGGAGTGTGTGTGTGTGGGGGTGTGTTTGGTGTGGGGGGCAGTGTTTGAGTGGGTGGGGAGGGGGGTTGGTTAATCACTGCTATCATAACCCCCCACCCTTTGCAGAGGTGGAGCTGTTCAGCCCGGCCCGGGTGTCGGAGCGGGTTCTCCTGCAGCTCCTGCGGATGCCCAGCGTGACCCAGGAGGTCAGGTTCGATGAGAACGACAAGTGGGCTCCGCAGCACTACCTGTACCAGCGCAATCAACACGTCAACTACTTCATCCTGGTACTACAGGTGAGCAACGCCACTGGGCGCCATCGCACGCACACGCACACGCGCACACACGCACACACGCCACCCCCAGGGGGCGCCGTTTCCTCTTCGTACCCGCGCTCCCTGTGCACAGCTCTGCGTGGAGCTCCAGGCCATCCAGGCATCCCCTGCTCCTTATTATCATAATTAATATAATAATAATTAATAGTAATGACACTTGCATTTGGTGTATGTTACTAACACAACAACAACAACAACAACAAGATTCCATTTATGGAGCGCCTTTCACGTCGGGAGGACGTCCCAAGGCACAGTGTGTGTGTGTGTGTGTGTGTGGGCGGAGGGGGCAGTGCGTGGGCGGAGGGGCAGTGCGTGGGCGGAGGGGCAGTGCGTGGGCGGAGGGGGCAGTGCGTGGGCGGAGGGGGCAGTGCGTGGGCGGAGGGGGCAGTGCGTGGGCGGAGGGGGGCAGTGCGTGGGCGGAGGGGGCAGTGCGTGGGCGGAGGGGGCAGTGTGTGGGCGGAGGGGGCAGTGCGTGGGCGGAGGGGGCAGTGTGTGTGTGTGTGTGGGCGGAGGGGGCAGTGCGTGGGCGGAGGGGGCAGTGTGTGTGTGTGGGCGGAGGGGGAAGTGCGTGGGCGGAGGGGCAGTGTGTGTGTGGGCGGAGGGGCAGTGCGTGGGCGGAGGGGCAGTGCGTGGGCGGAGGGGGGCAGTGTATTTGTAGGGTATAACGGGGTGTGTGTTACTCACAGGGCCGTGTGGAGGTGGAGATTGGAAAGGAGGGACTGAAGTTTGAAAACGGAGCCTTCACTTACTACGGTGTCTCAGCTCTGGCTGCTCCCTCCTCGGGTACCGTCTGTCTGTTAGTCTGTCTGTCTGTCAGCCATCGCCTTCCTCTTTGACCGTTGCCTACAGTCACCTCTCCCTCCCTTTAGCTCAGTGTTGTGCTCCGCGAGTGTGGGGGGTGGGGTGGGGAGGGGGTGTTGGGGCTGTGTAGTGCAAGTAGTTGTTGGTCAGTGTACGGTACACTAACCTGAGGAGTCTGATACCTTTGGGGTAATAATAATCCTTGCATTTAACACAGCCCCTTATTAGGTCTTCCAGACGTCTCAAAGCGCTTCACAGTGTATGTGACAGTGTATTTTGTGGGTGAAAGGCGGCAGCGACGCCCCCACAAACAGCGGTGGATTGAGCGACCGGATTAGTATTTTGTTAGCATCGAACGAGCGGCCCGGAGATATCTTAACCTGACGCGGCGCTGTTTCTCCGCAGTTCCTTCGTCGCCGGCCGCTAACAGGAAGTGGAGCTGCCGTGATCCGTTTCCCAGGGAGCAGGCGGGGAGCGGGGAACCCATCACCTACTGCCCCGACTACACCGTCAGGGCTCTCAGCGAGCTGCAGATCGTCAAGGTGAGAGCGACGGGAATCGCTGGCGTTCGAGGGCAACCGTGTGCTCGCGTTTCACCCACAAAACGCACAGTCGCTACACTGGACGGTGTGTCCCGCGGAGCGCTTGGAGACGTCTCTTAAGGCGCGATGAGGCGCCGGGTCAAACGGCAGGACTATTATTGTTAACAGCAGCAAGAGATTTCACAGCACGTTCTCTGTTCCTTCTCCAGAGAAAATTCTCTTCCTCTCTCTGTCTCTGAGTGCTCTCTCCCCTTCTCTCTCTCTCTCTCTCTCTCTCCTTCCTCGCTCCCTATTTTTCCCTCCCCTCTCTCTCTCGCTCCCTCTCTCACTCCCCTCCTCTCTCTCTCTGCCCAGGTCACCCAGATGCAGTATTTGAACGCGATTATGGCCTCGAGGACACACGGCTCGTCCCCATCGCCCGACACCTTTGAGCTCAAGGTGATGCCGTGCAGCCGGACCACGAGACTGAGCGATCAGAACGCCTCACAGGGTAAGTGTCCATGTGCGACTGGCATCTGGTAAACAGTGGGACGCGCGTGTGTGGGTGTAGTCAGCGTTGTGAGGTGTGTTTGGTCAGTGCTCTTTGTGTTTATGTGTGTGTGCAGTGAGTGCGTGTGTGGTACAGTGTTGTGAGTGTAGTCAGCGTTTGTGAGAGTGTGTGTGTGTCAGTATGTGTGTGGTCAGTGTTTGTGTGTGTGGTCAGTGCTGCAAGTGTGTGTGTGTGTAGGCTGTGTATGTGAGTTGTGTGTGTGTGTGTGTGTGTAGGCTGTGTGTGTGAGGTGTGTGTGTGTGAAGGCTGTGTGTGTGAGTTGTGTGTGGGTGTGTGTAGGCTGTGTGTGTGAGGTGTGTGTGTGAGGTGTGTGTGTGAGTGTGTGTGTAGGTGTGTGTGTGAGTTGTGTGTGTGTGTGGGTGTGTGTAGGCTGTGTGTGAGTTGTGTGTGTGTGTGAAGGCTGTGTGTGTGAGTTGTATGTGGGTGTGTGTGTAGGCTGTGTGTGTGAGTTGTGTGTGGGTGAGGCTGTGTGTGTGCGGTGTGTGTGTGTGAAGGCTGTGTGTGTGAGTTGTGTGTGGGTGTGTGTAGGCTGTGTGTGTGAGTTGTGTGTGTGTGTGGGTGTGTGTAGGCTGTGTGTGAGTTGTGTGTGGGTGTGTGTGTAGGCTGTGTGTGTGAGTTGTGTGTGTGGGTGTGTGTAGGCTGTGTGTGTGAGTTGTGTGTGTGTGTGAAGGCTGTGTGAGTGAGTTGTGTGTGGGTGTGTGTGTGAGTAAATATAAAGAGAAATAATCATAATGTGTGCTGTTTGCTGCCCTCACACTGATGAGAGATGTCAGTAATTCCCCATCACTCTGCCTCACTCTCTCTCCCACTCTCTCTCTCTCCCTTCCCCCACTCTCTCTCTCTCTCTCTCTCTCTCTGTAGCTGCTGCCCCAAACTGACCTGAACGACGGGAAACCAAAAGCCTCGATTTTTAAAACGTCTGTTGTTGCTGAGAGCTGTGACGGAGACCGTTACTGAGCTGAAACGGTGGTGAGACCAAGTGGGAGCTCAATCCCACGTTTACCCTCGGAGCAGATCCGCACCCCCTCCTCCCCTCCCCTCCCCATAGCCCCGCTCCCCCCGTCTCTCTGCCACCAACGTCAACTAATCCCGTGGAAAACAAGTGTCTGCGGAGTGCGGGCTGTGGGGAACAGGAGTTTCCGGAAGGGCAAACATTTCCCTTATTTTTCTAGTTAGGAAGACTGGAGATGATAATAATATTATTAATAATAATAATAATAATAATCCTTGCATTTGATACAGCTCCTTCTCACGTCCTTGAGGCGTCTCAAAGCGCTTCGCGGATTAGACCGTAAAGCGCAGTGACTGTGTTTCGTGGGCGGGTGAGACGCGGCAGCGATGAACTTGAGATGAGACGAACGTAACGTGCGATTCTTACCTCCTAACGCATAGCCTTTGTGTCATCAGAGTTCCCCTTCCCTGTCAGGGGTTTAGATTTGGTCCTGAATGCAAAATAACAGCTGCGGATTTAACCTTTTAATGAATCGTTTGATTCACAAAGGTCTGTAGGGCTCGTCGAGGCTTTGAGTAGGGGGTGTCATCGTCTCTGATTCAGGTGATTCTATCCCTTGGGTTGCGTCGACCATTAATGCAGTATTTTGATTCTCCAGCCTGACGGAATATGAGAGTCATTTTATAAACATAATTCTCGATCCCTTGTCTAGCCAAAGATTCCCAATAATAATAATAATAATAATTATAATAATCCTTGCATTGGATACAGCGCCTTATCACGTCTTCGAGACGTCTCAAACCGCCTCACAGGACACACTGTAAAGCGAATTGACTGTATATTTTGTGGGCGAAATGCCAAATGTAGAAGCCGAGAGAAATCTACAAGTGCCATTGAATCAAATCAGCCATTTCCAGTGTTTTATACCCTCTCTGGTTTGGGCTCCAATGTAGTTTGCAATCGGCGGCTTAGTTCTGATGAGCCGAGTTCTGATCTGTTTGCGAATGTGTGAGAGATATCTTAATTTCAAATGAAATCGTGTAGTGTCGTTTGTATGTACGTTTTACCGTAATATCTCAGAGAGATTTTTATTAAAGAGTAAGTGGTGAGTGTTCGTTGTCCTGTGTTCTGCCATTATAAGCAGTTGAAGCGTTAAGAGATTTGGATTGCAGGTCAGTTTAATAATCTTTTTCTGCACGCGGTTTTGCAACCTCGTTCCTCGTGGTCATGTTTTCCAATAGCCATTTGGGTACAAGACGTAAGAGTGTGTGTCAGTGTCTGTGCTGGGGGCTCGCTCCCCCACTCTGCTCTCGCCCCATTCCCTGCTCTCTCTCTCTCTCTCTCCGTCGTGTCTGTGCTGGGGGCTCGCTCCCCCACTGGAGCTCTCTGCTCTCGCCCCATTCCCTTCTCGCTCTCTCTCTCTCTCTCTCCATCGTGTCTGTGCTGGGGGCTCGCTCCCCCACCCTGCGCTGGCGCTCCTCCCACCACCTTGCGCCTGACATGGCGCCTTACCGCGCCGTTGAGACGTCTCAAAAGGCGCTTCACAGGATACAACCGTAAAGTGTCGTGACCGTGACAGTCTGTGGGCGAAACGCGGCAGCCAATTGCGCCCGGGAGCGTCCCCATCCCCCCCCCCCACGCAAACAGCTTGAAGAGATTGAGGCGACTGACTGTTTGTGACGGCATAATAATGGCACAGTGAGCCTCGGTGGTGATGTCACGGAGTTTGGGGGGAATCGAGTTGTCTTGCTCTGTGCAGCCACCCGAGGAGCCCGTGGAGGACAGGATGTTGGGTTGGAGGATTATGTGACCAGTTTGCTGGCAGATGGACTGTGTCAGGACGCCGCCGTCTTTGCCTCCTCCTGTCCGAGGCTGCTGGCTGCCAAGGAAGAAGGTCTATTGGAGCAAATGAGCCCGAAGGTTTCAACGTTCCTCGCAGTTGTCCCTCTCTCACCTGCTCACCACCTCCCCCACACCCCCCCCACCCCACCCACTCCACCACCACTCGCTGCTTTCCCCTCGACTGGATCCAGCCCCACGTATGTCCCTCGTGCTCTCCGTTCCATCGGACACCGCCCACACTTTCAGCCACTACGTCTCGAAGCTCTGCAACTCTCCCCCCCCCCCACCACCCCAATCCCCCCACCTACGCCACCCAAATCTTCCTTCTTCAGGTCACTCCCTCCCTCCCTCCCTCCTGGCTTGGCATCGTGCTCCACCACTGTCAAGCGCTCTGGAACTCTACCCTGCGTGGGGTGGGGGGCGCGCGGGCGCTGTATAAGTCATTGCTTTTGAAGCCCTCGTTCCTCCCCACCTCTATGATCTGCTAACTCCATATAGACCTGTCCTCTCCCTCCGCTCAGCGGGCTCCGGCCTGCTTCACGTCCCGCCCGGCCCTCCCCACCATCAGAAGCCGAGCCTTCAGCCTCTGGAACTCCATCTCACTGTCCCTCCGCCTCACTCCCCTCCCTTGCCTCCTTCGAAGCCCGTCTCAAGACCTTCAACTGCACCTTCGGTCACCCTCCTAACCCCGCCCTCCCCTCCCTCCATCCCCTCCTGATCCCAACCCCCAGCTCGGGTCCAAAACCCTGACTGTCCTTGGGACGTCCTCCTGACATGAAAGGGCTCCGTGTAAATGTCATTTGTTGTCGTTGAAGGAAATCAGGATGATCCTGAGCTGCGATCGGAAAGGCTTCCTGGTCAGGGGGCTGACCATCAGCGGGAGGAAGTGCTACGTTATCCGGGATAACTTCTACATGGACGGGGATGACACCATGGATATCCGGATGAAGAGGCAGGAAGGTACACCATGCCTCAGCCTGGCCATCGCCAGGTCAAAGAAGGTGTTCATCATCATCATGGGGAAGCAAGGCATTCACGGAGGAACTCTCAATAAAAAGGCGTTTCAGATGGCCACTTACATCAGGAAGTCTGGCTGTTAGCTCGAACCTTTGTAACCCCCAGAACAAATTCCTACGGTATCTCTCTGTGGCTATATTTTCCTCCAGATTTCATAAACTATTTCATTTTTGTAACTGTGCTTCCCCAGCGACTTATTTTGAGCCTCAGACCTTAGATTAATGATAGTAATAATAATAATAATCCTTGCATTTGGTATTGCGCCTGATCGGGTTCCGCAGAATATACTGTAAAGTGTGTGACTGCATTTGTGTGGGCGAAACGCGGCAGCTGACTGCGCACCGCAGCGTCCCCACAAACCGCCGTGGATCGAGTGAGCCAATTATTATTATTTTTAATTCATTAAAGGGATTGTTACCCCCGGAAAGCGATCCACCAATCTACTAATAACCGGGTTCCCACTTACTGCTTGGTAAACGGAGCTGCGTGGAATAAGGAAACTGGTCCAAGGTTTCGCCCTGGTCCGGGAATCGAACCCGGATCCTGTTGCTTGCGAGGCGAGTGCTCTCGCTGCAGGACACCGCCACATAACGCCCGCGAATGATACGAACCTCTCACCTTGCAGATAATCGGGCTGCGGTTCCTAATTAGAATTGTGAAAAGACAAATGATCGCAGCGCGAGCCGCAGCAACCGGACTGATTGCTACGGAAACCTCTTCTACGTAGTCGGCACTTTCAGGTAAAGTGACCATTACGGAGCGAAGTTCTTTGAACACGGATTGAAATGAGGTGCGTTTCCCACTCCACAGCCTTTTAAACAAAGTTACATCATCATTTTTCGGTGGGGGTGTCACCCGGGCGTCTGACACCCGCGGAAACCCATCACCGCTGCAACCGCAGAGTCTCCAAACCCAACTGGAAATCCCAGAGAGAGAGATTTTCGGAATGAAATGCTCTCTCTCTCTCTCTCTCTCACTCACTCTCTCTCTCTCTCTCCCTGGTTTACCTAATTACTAGATTTCACTTAAAATCTCCAAATGCCACCCTTACTTTTTCAACGGCTCCGAATTGAATCCGATTGACCCGCGGAGGAAAGACAAGAATTTCGCCTGAAAGCCACTGGGAAACTGATGGCATATTCTTGGAACGCAGCGTCGAGCAATAATAATCCTTGCAATAAGAATCCGTCTTTACGTTGTGAGATTATATTGCGTCTCGCGCTTTCACGCTCCTGTTTACCTAATTCCAAAGAGTGACCAATTTTATTGGGGAATGGTTGGCCGGGATACACCGGCAGAGAGAAACTCCTTTCTCTTCTCATGGCATCGTTAACGTCACCTGAGCACATCACCTAAGGAGGAGAGGACCAGGGACGGAGCCCTGAGGAACGCTGTACGTGATGGTGCGGAGGGCTGGAGGTGAAGCTGTTCAGCAGATACAAATTGGAGACGATGGGAAAGGTAATGCCGATTAATATTAATCATAATCCTCGCATTTGATACGGCACCTTTATCATGTCATTCAGACGTCTCAAAGCGCTTCACGGGATCGATGCGCTGCAAAGTGCAGTGACTGTGTATTTTGCGGGCGGAACGCGGCAGCACAATTTGCGCACAGAAGTGTCCCCGCGAGCAGTCGTGAAGTGAGCGACCAATTTTACTGGGGGCGACTTGGCCAGGACATCATCGGGAGAGAGAGAGAGAGAGAGAAGCGGACAGAACCGGGAAGGTAGAGCTGAGATCAATGGAATGATTGTCACTCAACTTGACACCCTAACGATAGAGCTCTCACTAACAGTCTGTCTGTCTGTCTGTCTGTCGGTCTACAGTGGATAGAAGCAGCAAATCAGCCACATGACTGTACAGTTATTATAATTATTATGATAATAATAATAATAATTGGGCAAGTTTCCTTACTCCATGTGCCTCTATTTACCGAGCAGTAAGTGGTCGATTGGAAGGATCGCTTTTCCCGGGGTAACAATTCCTTTCAAAAAAATAATAATAATAATAAATTGGTCACTGCTCGTGGGACACTTCCGTGCGCGATTGGCTGCCGCGTTTTGCCCGCAAAATGCACACAGTCACTACGCTTGGCGGTACACGCCGCGAAGCGCTTTGAGCTGTCTTGAAGACCCGATAGGGCCCGGTATCAAACGCGAGGATTACGGTTATTATCGTAAGAATAATGATAACGACTATCTCTGCAGTTGATCGAAGCAACGTATCGCGTCGTCGAGAGGTCCGGGAGCTGCTGTTCCTCAGCTCAGGAGGTGCTGAAAGCATCTGAAAGCTCTATTGTGGGTGTTTTTCGGACCAGACCGAGAGCAAAGCCACATCCCAGTCTCTAACCACTTCAACGCCACTTGATTCTCTCTCCTCTCTCTCTCTCTCTCTCTCTCACTGCCAAGCCGGCGGTTGAGGCTGTGAGCACAGGGAAGGTTTGGTTCGTGTGTGTTTACGGCTTCTTTTGGCAGAACACTTGAGGTCCCGCACACTGCGTGCGTGAATTTTATTGTATTTTGTGATTATAATTTTATAATGTTGCGTTGCTATTACATTGCATCATTGGGAATGTTGTCGCATTTATCGTTGCATGATTATTATATTCTTAATATCATTGTATTAGATTGTATTCTTAATATTAAGGCATTTTATTATTGTTACATTAGTAATATTATTGTAAAATAATAATCCTGGCAGTTGATATATCGTGTTGCTGAGATGTCTCAAAGCGCTTCACAGTATATATGTTATTTTATTGTATTTTATTAATATTATTGTATTTTATTTGGTTATTATTATTGTAATACTGGATAATATTAATATATTGTGCCTTAGGACACTTGCGTAGGCGATTGGGTGGGCAAGGATCAGGATTAGACTGCAACTTGTCTTTGACCGGTCTCCGAATAATTCAAAAATATTAAATTAATAATAACTGAAGTTAATAGATTGAATTGAATTCGGAACTTGGTCGGTGGCTTCCTCTGCAAACGGTAACTTTAAAAAAAAACACACAAATATACGGCGAAAACAAAGTCGGCCGAAGCAATTTCGCTTACGGTCTAATTGTCTCTTTGCTCGGGGACACTTGTTGTCTCAAGTGATGCAAAACTTTGTGATCTTCCTGACTCCACACAGCGAAGGGAAGGCATCTCACCCCCAAAAGATGCCTTATTGATCTGTGCTTACGGTCACTTCCCCCCTCCCTCTCCCCTGGCTCGCGGTCAGGCTCCGCTAACTCACGTGAAGGGTGCCATATAAATATAAAAATAAATCCAAGTTGCTGTTGTTCTTCTTCTTCTTCTTCCTGCCAGGAAGATGGGAACTCTCCGCCATCTCCAGTTGGCTCTGCGAGAGAAGATCGAGGAGTTGAGGCAGAGGGACGCTCTGATAGATGACCTGGAGCTGGAGTTGGACCAGAAGGACGACTTGATTCAGAAGCTACAGAGGGAGTTGGATAAGTACCGATCTGTCCTGCGACCATCAGCGCAGACAGAGGAGACCAACCAAGCCCAGGAGCACCAGCGAACCAAACGCCAGGCCATCTCCGCTGAGCCACCGCCCTGGACATCCAGCAGATCAGCGACGTCAGCCTTCCCTGTTTCTCCAAAAGCCCCCAGTAAGTGGCTTCAAGCCTCCGATTCATTTACACTGTGTCCCGCGAAGCGCTTTGAGACGTCTGAAGACGCGATGAGGCTCTGCATCGAACGCGAGGATTATTATTTATTGTTCGCCCATTTCCTCCTTGTGTTGCTGTGGAGTCCTGGAGCTCTCGCTTCGCAAGCGAGAGGACCCGGGTTCGATTCCCGGGCGAGTCAGGGCGAGACCTTAGGCACGTTTCGATGTGATAATAATAATAATAATAATAATCCTTGCATTGGATGACACATCTTATCAAGTCTTTGAGACGTCTCAAAGCGTTATATCGAATGCAAGGATAATTATGGTCTCTTTGCTCGTGCCCACGGTCACCTCCCCTCTCCCCTCGGCTCAGTGTCGTTCGCCGCCGCGGTCAAGCCCTCTGGGGAGGGGGTGGGCGCTGTGCGGTGAGGTGACCGACGGGGCTCAGAGTTGCAGCTCCCCATCATCTCTCGAACTGTGCGTGAAACAGATCAAAGGAGCTGATCAAAGGGGCCATCATGGAGAACGACTTCATGAAGAATCTGGAGGTGTCCCAGATCCAGGAGGTGGTGGATTGCATGTACCCAGTGGAGTTCATCGAGGACAGTTACATCATTGAGGAGGGGGATGTGGGCTCCCTCGTCTACGTCATGGAAGGTAGGAGATTGGGGGATGGGGTGGGGGGTGGGTTGGGGTGGAGAGGAAAGGGGGGAGTTAGACACTTCATCGTCACTCTTTGATCGTGCCTTCGGCCAGACCCCCCCCCACCCACCCCGCCATGCCCTCCACCCCTCCTGACGCCAACTCCTGCGCCCTGGGACTTCTTTCCTTTCCGAGTGTAACTTGTTGTTGTTGTTCCCCCCACCAATCCCCCCCACCCCCACAACACACTCCCCCGCCCCCTCCCGCTCGCCAGCCCACTGCACCATTCCCCTGAGGTCCAATAGGAACACGGGAACAGGAGGAGGCCATTCAGCTTGTTGTCCAGTCGGACTCCTGTAGCTCAGTGGTGAGCGCTCTCGCCTTTCAAACGAGAGGAGCCGGGTTCGATTCCCGGGCGGTCAGGGCGAAACCTTGGGCGGGTTTCCTGTAACTCTGCTCTCCGCACGCACACGGCCTCTGGGTCGCGTGAGCAACAGGAAAATCCCATGACTGAGGAAAGGCTGTCAGCAGCACCTGGGCCGTGACCTCGGAAACAACACTGACAACAGCTGCTGATGACGGCTCCAGGGAATGGACGGTTCTTCACGAGCCCCAACAAAAAGCCATCGTAATAAACCCACTCCACTGCCCACTGCCCCTGGCTCCTCGGCTGGCTCCGGCCTCCCGCTCGGCCACTCGTCCCCTCCTCCGCTCCACCATCAGGCACTAAGCTTTGGAATTCTCTCCCCAATCCCTCCTCCGCCTCGTCCCTCCCCTCCTTCCCCTCTTTTAGATCATGTGGGAAGACTTTCTCTTCGACCACGCTTATGGTCACCTCCTCAACTTCCCCCGGGTGCGAGGGAGGAAGAGAG